GTATCTTCCTTTTGGTATAGTTTTTAGGTAAATTACACATTTAGTACATAATATATTAGTTTTGATTTGTTTTAGTATTTAAACTTTTATTTTTTTCAAAACCACACCTAAACTTTAGTTTCATTTTAATATCCCGTTAAAAATTTAACGTTAAGTTTTGAAAAGATTGAAAGTTTAGGTAATAAACTAGACCAAAATTGCTAATTTATGTACTAAATGTGTTAAATGTTTAGCGGTGGGGTACTAAAATGAAAACTAAATGTAAGGTGTGGTTTTGAAAAAATTGAAAGTTTAGATACTAAAACGGGCAAGAAATGATAGTTTAGATACTAAAACGGATAAAAACTAATAATTTAGATACTAAATACGAATTTACATTTTTTAGCTCGACAAATGTTTATATTAAGATAAAGGATAACTCTAAAGTGGGCGACAGACATTGATGTGCATCACTAATAATGTGCAACGATATGCACCTCTAATATAAAAATATGGTAAATTATAAATGGCCATTAAATTTATTAAAATGATTTCATTTGTTATTACATTTTTAAAAGTTATAAAATAGATATTAAACTTTAAATTTATTAAAAATAGGTAGTGACCATGAAATGTTATTAACGGTGTGACATGAAATGCTAAATTAATAAAAAAATATTTTATTTGACCCCTCAATTATAACTAAAATTTCATTTTTTATAATTTTCAATATTTTAAGTAATGATTTCAAAAAAAAAAATAGAAAACTTATAGTTTTTTAAAAAATTATATGAAAACAATTTTTTAAAAAATTAAAATGATATATTTTTTTGAAAAATCATTCTTCAAATTATTTTATAATTAATTATTTATGAATCATGATTATATTTGTAAAATTAAAAATTTATAATTTTTTGAGATCTAAAAAATTGAATTATCAAACAATGTAATTATTTTTATTAAATGATGTGATTCAAACATTTGATTTTTGTTTAAGAAATTTAAACACAACTTTTAAAAATACATCCAGAAAATTGTTATATCATATTCGTAAAACAAATACATCCGAACTTAAATAAAAATAATTGAAACAATCCTTAAATTTTAATAATGTATCAAGTAAATTATTTGATATAGATTCGATATTTAGAATATGACACTAAAAAATAATATTTAATTTATCTATTATCCATTTTATTTTAAATTCAACAAACATAATAAAAATTATTTTAGTTAAACTAATAGTAAAATGAAAATTTAGTTATAATTAAAGGGTCAAATGAGATATTTTTATTAATTTAGCATGACACATAACCTCTTTAATGATAAATAATAGTGTTGTGCTCATTTTGTAACAAAATCTAAATTTTAATGTGGATTATATAACTTCTAAAAGTTGTGCCTAAAAAGATCATTTTGATATGACTTGATGTTCATTTATGAATTTTATCTTTTAAAATTAAGGGTGGATATCAATGTTTGGAGAAATTATTTCATAGTCCCGGCTCACCCGGTCATGTGTGGTCCCGGTGAATATGAGTCACAAATTTTAAAACAACTTCCAAATAAATACCCGCTCTTTATTTACACATAGGAAAAAGATTAAGATTCACCTAGAAAAAAAATAAGATGAAAAATTATTATTAGTTGAGACCACATATGACGTATCGAGCGAATTTTACCGCCGCAAATAGAAATCAATTTCCATTGGAATGCAAGTGGGACTCGAAACCCTATAATTTTAATAATGTACCAATTTTTGGATGTTGTAAGATACTTTAACTTATTATCGACTAATTTAGAACAAATATTAAACGAAATCTATTATAAAAAAATATCTCCACGGATGAATTTCAGCTTTTCCTTCCTCTGCTCCAATTGTCAATAAATCCTTCGCATATATTATGTAGACATAACTAAATCCTTTTAATATGAAGAAAAGAGTTTATAATGTTTATATTTAGATTCGTCACTGATAATCGCTAATGTTTTATGAACAATCATGCTATGTTATTTGGGAAAAAAATTCGATTTTCTTAAATTTGTTTGTTGAACGTATATTAAGACATGAATACGAAGAAATAATCCTGTAATTTAGAAAAAAAAATGAACGTTCTCATTTTGAATTTATAATTATCTAACGTTCACATATTAAGTGACCTCAGTGGTTAAAGGGATGATTGTTATTCCTAAAGGTCCCAGATTCAAGCACGACGTCTACAAGGGTGTTTGAGCATTCATTCTTAAATAATTTAAAGTCTTTCAAACATATAATACTTTATAATTACTACGTAATTATAAAAAAACGAACATACATATTGATGTTGTAAATGCATGTAACATGCAACACACATTTTCGTAACAAAACTTTTGTAATTCTGTAATTTTTTCATGGATTCAATTTCTCTTTTCAGTTTCGGACCATCATTATTTTTTTATTCAATTTGATCCTTTTTATCTTTGAAAATAGTTAACTTTTAATTGAATTTGACATCAAGTTGCCTACAACGGCGATTGACTCCAGCCCCTAAAATCTTTCAAAATTTCATTTTAATTGTTTCTCTAAATAAATAAAATAATCTTAAACATTTTTTTGAATTTAAACTTATATCTATAAATAAAAAGTAGCCTAATATCAATGATAAAATTATAAATGAACAAAATAAGAATAAGGCTTAATTATAAAATAAGTGCCTAAACTATACTTTTTTTCCAAATGGGTGTCCAATTGTTTTTTAATCATTCAGGTGCCTAACGTTACAAACGTTATCACTTTAAGTGCCCATCCCGTAACTGTTATTAATTTTCTCCGTTAAGTGACACGTGTTACATTTTGATAATTTTGATTTTTTTTAAAAAAATTATTATATTTTTAAAAAACCTTAATTTCTCTTAAATTACAAAAAAACCCAAATTCCTAGGAGTCCTAAATCCCTTGTTGGCCATGACCACTTCCGTTGTCATAGTCTCTGCCATATTCCTAGTTATAAGTCACCGATTGGCCGTCGGGATCGTGTGGGGTCACGATTTTCACCGTAGGGTTCGCAGGGTACAAACGTTGATTGGCTGTTGATTGGTCGCGATTTCATAGGATTATTAATTGTCAGGGGAGGTGAGGTCAGGTGGAGCTTCATCGATGACAAAGGGCAGCTATTACATGGGTTTAGGGGTTAAAATGAGAGTTTTAAAAGTTTTAGGACTAGTTCAAAATTTATGTACTTTTTTAAATTAGTTTTAATTTTTTAATTTTAAATAATTTTTTTAAAATTACCATAACGTGACATGTGTCCTTTTAAGGTAGTTATAGTCTGAGCACCTAAAGTAGTAACGTTTGTAAAGTTAGACACCTGAATGAACACTTATTTTATAATTATGCCTAAGAATAATGAAAAATAAAACACAAATGATCTTTCATCTACATCAAAATAATTTTGCAAGTACCAGCTTAAACTTAGAAACAAGTCACAAACATCTTTATTCACTTCATCACCAACTTGGAAAAAATATATTCAAAAGTAAGAACAGTGACAAATTTAGTGATAAAAAATCAAAGATATTGAATTCAAAGCCCCAATATTGACATTAGTTGAACTTTGGTTTTTCATCTTATTATTAGTCTTCAAGGCTTCAAAAATTATCCTCTCCCTATAATAATTGTCTATCAATATTTTTCATGTACGATAAATCAAATAAGAAGAGATTGATTTATAAAGACATAGATAACAATGTTGTAAATTGTTATATTTCCAGTTGATAATGTTTGGGCATGAAATTTCATACTTTATGGTAAGTGGGGTATAAATGAATATAGCGTTCGGTGAATTGTTCGTACATTTTTCGTATAATGTTCATTTTTAAGGTAAATAAATGAGTATGAATACAACTTTTATGGTCATTTAATAAACAAATGAACATGGTTCGTTTATGTTCAGGAAGAAGCTCGGTAATAAGTTCATTTATCGACTCGTTCATTTATGTTAATGAACAAGCTCGTTTATAAGCTCATTTATCTCGTTCTCTTTTCCTTTTATTTTTTATATATTTTAAATATTGGTGAAAATAGTGATTAAATTGAATACATGATGAATTTTAGAGTTTAAACTGTGAATATTAAGAAGTATAAGTATCAGTGGCGTAATTCTATCAATTTTCTTTAGCTTCAAATGAAAGGGCAAAAACTAACGAATATGTTTGTAAGCAAAAAATGAATGTGTCTGTGAACATATAAGTGAACATGTTTGTCAACGTTAAATGAAGAGGTTCTTGAACATATAAGTGAACATATTCACGAAAATTAAATAAATATGTTCCCTAATAATAAATAAACGAATATGAACACCTTTAAAAATAATTAAATGAACACGATATTAAAATTTTAAACAAACATAAATTGAACTCGACCAATATAAAAAATAACCAAACGAACACAAAGACAATCTCATATATTTAAGCTTAATTCATTTACACACAAAGCGTGAATAGTTGATACATTGGCATATCTCTGAGCACCACACATAGAGGAAGAGAACTTGAAGAGTATCCAAAGTGGACCGATGAAAAATCAATCCTCCTTTAACCGTAATCTTATCCAACACATATATTCGAAAGCCAACAAAATATCATAAACAAACGATCACACTTCAGAAAAAAAATCAATCAAGAAAACTTCGAAAGATACAAATTAAATTTAAAATTATATTTGTAACTTTTAAAAATTAAGACAATACATAATTAAAAATTATGTACTAATTTTTGGACGTCGTGAGATGCTTTAACTTTCACTCCACGTAACCTATTATCTAATCAAGGACATCGTTAAAATCCGCCTCATAACCTATCATCTACATTTTTTTCAAATAAAATATTTTTCAAAATAAAAATAACTTCTACTTTCTTTCTTATTACTCTGAAACTCGATTTATTATTGATTAATTCGGATCAAATATTATAAAAACCTATTACAAGAAATATCTCTTTCAACTCAATTTTTCTGTTCACAATGTCAATATTCAAACAACGAAATCACAAAGTACAAAACAATTTACACAAACTAGAAATTGCTTTGCCTCCAACCACCATACTCTTCGTCTTCGTCTTCATCTTCATTTCCTTCAACCTGTGTTACAATACAACAAGAACAACCCAAAATTAATCCTACATTATGTTACTCGAACTCGTCATTTTTCATTTATATATATATTCGAAACACATTTAAAAAAAAACAGAAAAAAGATGGAGTTATATATACCTTTCTGGTGAAAGTAACACCAACTGTAATATCTCCACAGTAACTATTTTCAGCATTAACTACACTTTGTTTAGTAGGATGAATTTCAGCTTTCCCTTCCTCTGCTCCAATTGCCAACAAATCCTTCACATATACTCTGCGGACATAACTAAGTCGTTTTAAGACGAAGAAAATAATTACAAATATTGAGATTGTCAAGATTCGTGTTTGATAATCACTGAAATAGTAGAGTATGTTTGGAATTGAGATTAATGTTTTATGAACTATCAAATTACGTTGTTCCGACTATTCATTTTTCTTATAGTGTTCATATATAAAGCATTGACCTTTGACTGATCTAGAAATTAAAAATTACGGGTTCAAAATTTTAATACTCTATTTTAAAAACATTTTGGGTATGCAATGGCTCCCCTAAGAAGCCATGTACATCCGTCCATGTTGAACTTAAATACATGAAAAAATTTCGAAAACAAACGTGTTTTCATCTTACGTGGCCTGACCAACAAAGTCGTCGGAAGAGAAGGTGTCCTTGTCCATGATTTTGAGAACGACCTTGTAGCCATCACCTGATCCCGAATACTCCGCCTTGAATGTAAATCTTTCATTCCATGAAGGATCAGAGCCACCACCTGCACACAGTTTTTCATTTTTCCTAAGTTCACGAGTCCGACGTATATTAAGACATAAACATAAAATAGTGACGAATCCAGAAATTTTAAAACGTGAGTCCAAAAATTTTATACTCTTTCTCTTAACAAAATGGATATGTGATTTTTTTTCTTCCTTCTCTAAATATATTAAACTATATTTGATAACTTATCCAAAATAACGATATTTCCCCTAAGAAGCTAAGTGCATCCACTCCTAATACGAAAAGATAACTCCCTAAAAATTAGTTTACCCTTATTCCGATATGTAATGGGGTAAGGGGGAGGCAAGATAGTAGGCTAGCCCCCAACGCCAGGTTGAGAGCAGCTTCCGTGGGAGACTTCCATATTATGAAATGCCCTCCGTGGGACTCGATCCCACAACCTCAAGGTTAAAAACCTTGTGCTATACCAACTGAGCTGGATGGTCATTTCAAATTTATACTTTATGTAACACTCACATTCGAATTAATTTTCTAAGTCAAATTACCGAACCCACGTTTTATTTATCTTAAGTGTCTATGTCAAGTATCTTAACATGGATATAAAGATGTAATTATTTTTTTAATAATTTGAATGATTATAAGATAATATATGTTCAAAATCTTTCATAATCATTAACAACTTAATTACTCAGACTCGGGATCTCTAAGAGAACAATACTCTTTTTTTTACCACCGACATCACTTAATGTATTAAAAAATTTAATTATTTAAATATTTATTAAATACATGTTCATCAAATAATATAAAAGTGATGGATTTAAAATAAAGAGTTAAAACCAACAATCAGTTGGTCTAGTGGGATGAGATACTATGTCTCTTAAGCAATGTCAGGGGTTCGAACCCTGACGTTTGCGAATGGAACAAACTGGGTTGGGAGGGTCGCCATGGCCTATGCAGTACCCGATCAATCAAAAAGATGAAAAAAGAAAAAAGAAAGGAAATCTGAGAGATTAGATTGCATACCCAGAAAATATGAGTCCTCGAGGCCTTTAGCACTAACCAAGAACACTTCCAGTATTCCAACAGCCATCTTTGAATTTGAGCTTTCTTTTTCTCTCTGAGATTCTGTGAATGGAAATTGTTTGGACTCTTCCGATTATTTGATTCTTTATATAGAAGAAATGGAAAGGTGGCTGGCGACTTTGGTAAGTTGTTGGGATGGACACATGAATTTAGTGACGGGGACGAACCTGAACTTTTAAAATTTTGAGCGAACTTAAATTTATAAATTTTCAGAAAGATAATATCGTATTTTTAATAAAAAAAATATATTAATTTTTTTTAATATATGATAATTTTAAATTTTAAAAAGGATCGCCTCGATCTATCAGGTACTAGGTTGGCAGGTAATTCCACACCAAAAACGTGACCGCTGACGAGGAAACGTCGCCGAATATTACAATGTTTTCTTTTTTACTTTTTGATTTTTGGATATTATTTTAATAAATTTTTTAATTATGTTAATAATTTACATATCGAGTCGATATAATTAAGGTAAAGTACATAAATGATCCATCGATATAGGGTGATGTTTTATTGAGTCATTCGTTAAAAGTTATAAAATATTCTCTTGATTATAAGACATTGCTTTTTTAAATCTCATAACTATTAAAAGTTAGAAAATAGTCACCCAACTATTTATTGTGTTATAAACTCGTCTTTTTCTGTTCAAAAAGTTTGAGTTGGACGTTAACCCACCGACTAGGATATGATATAATATGAATCCAAAATCTCAAACGAATATCATATTCCAATCAGCAGGTTAACAAAAGGGGTGATTTTGGAACACCAATGAATAGTCAGGTGACAATTTTGTAACTTTTACTAGTCTAGAAACTTAGAAAAGCAACATCCTATAGCCAGTGGACCATTTTATAATTTTTAATTGTCAAAGGACTTAATAAAGCAGTATTCTATAATCGAGGAATCATTTGTGTATTTTACCCTTATATTTATGATTTATTAATAAAGAAGATCATTTAAATCCATCAAATAATCTCGTTAGTTAAGGAGAGTAGTGTTGTTCCTATAGGTATTGGATTCAAGCATATGATTATAGATATGTGTGCTTTGTCAATATTCTAAAATGATTATAAACATATATTACATTGTAATAAACCTAAATTATTTTAAAAAAATAAGTTTTTGTATAACCACTGATATCTAATTTACTAATCGACTAATACAAACGAGTACTGGAGAGGCGAGAAAGACCATTCGAACGTAGTTAGCTCCATTCGCAAACATTAGGTTTCGAATCTTTGACCATGTTTAATGAATTTAATGTCTTACTCACTGGTTGTTAGTAAAAGTAAATATATAAACGATTTATGGACACTAATTAACAGATTTATAAATCATCATATTAACACAAATCAATCGTTCAAGACATACTAATAATTGAATCAACGTTTCTGCTGAAGTACAAAAGTTAAATTTTAAAAATATAGAAATTTGCACGAATTAAACGATTCAGTGATTAAGAGATTGTTATTATCTCTAGATGTTTTAGATTCAAACACCAACGAATGCAAGGTATTCGAACGTTTATAGTCAAATAGTTGAGAGTTTTTATAAATGATATTATTAGATGTTACTTTTAAATATTTATTTATTTTGAACATAAATTATAAAATAAATTTTTAAAAATAAATTTTATTTATAAATTTTAAATATTTATTTATTTTAAATTTCAAATTATTATACTCTGATGTGTTCTTGGATCATTCAAGATATCGATGAACTTATCTTATCATCTCATATTACTTTATCAATTTGAATTTTATCTAAATTACTTTAGAACTCACAAGATTCGATCTCAAACTTAAGAATCGTGAAACTCTAAACCACTCTACTGTTGGAATTTAAAAAAAATATTTCATCATCAAAGGAAATTTTAAACTAGGAATTATTTCACAAAAAAAAAATTCCAAGACCATTTCATAATTTTTAAAACAAAAATATTCAATTATAATGCCATTAGATATTTAACAACAGAATAACTAAAGTAAATCAAAAGTTAAGTGAGCAAATTAAATTTTTTAAAATTTTAACAACCAAAATAGGATTAAGAAAAAGCTGAGGGATAAAATTTATAATTTACCCTAATTAGTTGAACAAACCAAGTTAATTTTGGATTGACTAGTCCAAGTAATTCGATTAGAGTCAGATTCAAGTTATTCAATTTTAGGCAGACATTTTTGAATTATAATTGTTTTGAAGATTAGAATCATTCCTGATTTGACAAGATTTTTAGATGAAACCATCACATTTAGATCATTTCTGGTTCTAGTCACTCGAATTCGCACCATTCAGGTTCAAACTAATTCGAGACCGAGTCATTTCAGGTCGAGGTTATCATACACATACTCCCGAGCCCGAATAACATAGATTCGAACTCTATATCATGGAATCGGATTGCTAATAAAAAATTTCTGCCACAGGAAGGAGCAAACCTCAAATACCGAAACTCGAACTCGAATGTCATTGTTTCATCAGAGTTCTGATATAACAAACGATGAAAGCAAGCCACAGATTTAGAAGTTATATTCAAAATGATAGACCCCACACAAATATAGTCTACTATCGAAACCATCACTTGATACGAACCCAAAAGCTGAAGTTTTTACTACTTATCTGCTCTGTCTGCGTAAAGGTCAGCAGATCTCGATCTGGACCCGGACGGAGACCTTGAATATCTACTTGGAGACCTTGATGATCTAACCCTACCCGGAGATGGCCCAAATCCAGCTCTTGGGTCCTCAGGCGGCTCGTATGAGGATTGCCTCCTACAAATGGAATATTCAAAAACCGAAACAAGCCACGAGTCAAGTTAAACATACAAAATAAAACCAGTAACAATGAACTCTCATCATCCAAGAATTTTGAGAGCCTGGAGCTGCATAGAAGTATGGGTTTTCCATACAGATAAAACTGTTGTACTTCTGCCGATAACATGCAACTTCTTTATGAGAGCAAGCTAAGAAAGTTGAAACAATGAAATACACTTCCACTTACTCGCCATAACCCTTTATGTCAGCATTTTCATATCCAGGAGAATATGATCTGTGATCGTAATCACCATCTCGTTCCGGTGGAGGACCTCTTGGAGATTTTGGATGTTCTTCATGCCTTCTACCTGGTGAAACAGAATAATTTTGCCGACGTCTTGGGCCAGGGGAGTATGACCTGACAGATTAATATGTAATCGCCTTATTAGCTAACAGAAAAAGGATATGATAGCAATTCGACAGTTTACCTTGAGCGGTAGCGGCCTCTAGAACCTGAGGGGTGGTGAGGAGAGCGCATAGGGGATAGAGAACGAGACCTAGAACGTCCTGCCACATAAAATGAGTAAGAATTAGTTTACAAGGAGTCGATTTCAGATTACATGGTGGAAAAAAAAACAAAGGATTATTTTTGCATAGATGCAAAACAGACTACTGGTTTCATGACTTCAGTTTTCTTTATGCATCGGATTCCGCTTCTAGGACCCTCCAAACAAACTGAAAACTTAGAATTGAACATATCGGACACATTCCCATGTCTAACACTCACATACGGGCTTGAGTAAGTCAGGAATAACATACCATAATAAGATGATCGTCCCCCATAGCCAGATGGTCCTCTGGAGATTTACATGACAGATTATGTAAATACAAGTAAAATAACAGGAAACTTCATGTACACGAATGTTTGTGAGATATAGAGATCAAGAAAGTACCCAAGTCTAGCCTTGTGGCGCATCTCTTCAGGCCTTTTCCTCGTCTCTGCAGCTACAACAACCGATATCTCTCTCCCACCAAATATTTTCCCGTTCATGCGCCGTCGAGCTTCAGCAGCATCATAAGAATCCACAAACTGCACAAATGCAAACCCTCGAGGTTCACTGCATAAAAGATACACGCCAATCCTTCATTTAAGCATGCAAGTTTGCAATGGACAAAATAAGCCGACTCGAAAAAGTAAAAAAGAAAACAAGATACCATGTTACTATGACAAGTCCATTACTTTGCATATACCTTTACACATCCAATATTGGCTCCAGAAGACAGCCACAAACGTGTTTAAATAAAAATTCGCTAAGTGCTGACTTTTCCCCTTAATAGACAATATCAAAGGAACTTCAAAAGAGGCAAGTGACTTGAAAAATCTTCACATGCTCGTAAATATAAGAAGCACTTGATATCGACAATTTCCTTCAATTGGGTCAGGAATCAATCTTCTTCCTCATCAAAACCTTTATTGATTTGTGTATTTAAATAGTTTCGCTTCATAAAGGAACATTCTTCACATGATCATTACTCTTTAACACCCCGGATCACAATATGTTATGCAATCATAAACAGTAGTCCTTCATCAAATGTGGGGCTTGGGCTTGTTTTTACTTCAAAACAATACACACCCCTGACAAACCAGTTCAAATTGTAATTCGCTACGGAAAAGGAAAACAAATTAAGTGCTCTAAGAACTAGAGCGGAAAGCAACTTGAAGGAAATAACTTTCTACATGCGACAACTAAAGGTCTAAGAAGAGAACACAAAGAAGGAAGCAGCACATAGCTACTGCAAAAGCATATCAAACCAGAAATTAGAAATCTTATTTTTGCCAATCCTAAAAGCTTGCTTTGGAATAACTAGTAATCAAAAAAAGAAGAAGAAAAAGGCTTATCAGTTGCTCGTTCAACATAAAACTAAACTTTTTGTAGCATATGATATGACAACTTTTAGCCACATATATGTTTAACTAGACTGACCAACAAACTTTGACTCGGACAAAGAATGGAAGCTCAAGCTCGATACAAATAAAACTAAACCAACTTCGACATACATAAGCATAAGCTAGAATGTATAAACTTCCATTAAAACATAGTAAAACAATACCAACCCTGTATGGTAGTCTTTGGGAATATAAACATCCCTAACATGCCCAAATCTCTCAAAAGGGATTCGAAGTTCTTCAGTCCTGCAAACGTAATAAAAAATAAATTAAACATAACATTTAATCAGCATTTAGATAATAAGAAAAAAAGGATTAAGTCAAAAGGGCTACCTGCAATCTAAGGGAATGTTTCTAACCAAAAGGCTTCCCTGATTCTGTTCCCTCCTTCTGCCATAACCACCACCGCCACCATATCCCCTCCTAGGAGGACTTCTTTCTCTACCTCCATAGCCTCTCCTGGGGGGACTATAGTATTGTGGACTGTATCTCCTCATCCCCAAAACCTTTCAAAAACACAAACCATTAAATTACATTTATACATAATTCGAAAGGATCAAACAAAATTCACCCATCTAACCTTGATCTTTTCTAATTTTGAGAGAAACCCAGATTTTTCCCTTTTTCCAAATAAGGTGTTGCTAATTCACGCTATGCAATACCCAATAAATATATCCATAAAAAAACGATAAAATTCCGTAATTCATAAAATACCCAGATCAAAAATCTTGCACAGTTCTGAAAAATGATAAAGATTCAAACGAGTAATCTAAGATTTTCTGTTTGGTTGATGAGAAAATTAAAGAACCAAAAAAGTTATATGAGCATCGGCTTAGTCGACCTAAACTATACTCCGAAAAATCAAATTTTTATAGAAAAAAATAAAAAGAAAAATGCCCAAAAATCATTGAATTTGGAAGAACGTAGATTTTACCTGGAAGACGGAATTTGAAACTGCGACAGAATAGAAAAAAGGGATTCACTTGGGAATTTTGAGATCTGATGTACCAGTATTATGCTAATGCTTTATTTTGGATCGCATTGTTGGGCCTATTCGGCCCATTCGTTTTTTTGCCATTTTTCCATATCTAATAATTATTATTTTATTATTTCTTAAATAATTTTATAACAAATTACATATCATATTGCATAATAATTTAAATTTATTTTAAATGTTAACATTGTTAAGAATGTATTTGTCACGCCCCAAAATGAGGGTTAAAAGTTAAGTAGTTGAAGTTTGGGTGTCGTCGTGAGAGTTCCCTAAAAGTGCAAGTACTTCTATAGCCATTTGTCCAAGTTTAAAATATTCAACTACCAATTTGGTCACTGTCGGCACCGTTCGGTTTGTCTTGGATTTTCCATTCGAACGGTGGTTTTCGTTTTCGTTGTCGTCGCCGTTACTGAGGATAAGCAAGATAAACTTGAGATCATATAAGGACATAAAAAGAAAGGTTAAAAATCCATTTAAAAACTCGAACAAAATATAAATATGAATATATTTGACTACATCGACAAATGAACCACAACAGGAGATTAAACTATTGAAAGATTACTGACAATCGTAAATCAAAGTCGAGCATCATTAGAAAATTATTCCAAATATGTTACATTACACATATCCTAAAGTATTTAGAAACCCTCAAATTATTTATTGATCATCCAATGCATTTTTATTATTATTTTATTAATTTAGGGGGGGCGTTTGGACCCGTTTGGTTAGCTGGGATTCTCATTCTCAGTTATGTAAGATTACCAATAGTGAAATTTTTGAGGTATATTATCGGGAATGTCATTACCTCCCTTTCCTTAGGTATTGTTGGATTAACGGCGTTTTGGACTAAAATGCCCTTAATTTTTTTTTTCAAAATATCATTTTTCTGTCTTTGAATAATAAAAATTCTACGAAAGTTAAATTACAAATTTATCCTTAAACTATTTTAGATTTACAAAAAAGTCTATAATTAAAATTTTATACGAAGTTCAAAGGTTAAAATAAAATTTTACCCTTTCATTAAACTTTTTTATATTTTCAATTTTGTAAAAAAAATTATATAAATTTTATGAATTTAAATTTTTATAAGAAAATATATAAATATTTTCCAACTTGTTAAAAAAATACATATATAATAAGGACAATTTGGTCAAATATACATTCAAATAATATTTTATTCATTTAACCAAACACGATAATCTTACATTCCTGCTAAACTAACCAAACACAAAATACAACATTACCAGTAATCTTATTCCTTGTTAATCTTACATTCCCACTGGTAATCTTACATTCCGTGAACCAAACGCAGGGTAAGTACAATGTAATATTTGTTCAAATATAACTCTAATTCATTTAACATTTAACGTTCGTACCTTTGACATTCATGGAACTGACGAATTCATGAAGATTTTATAGGTCAAATCAATATAAATATAATAAAAAATTTATCTAACATAATTCATATATATTTTTATTTAAATATATATTATATATATATATATATATATTTGGATTAAATCTAGAAAAATATATTAATTGGTGTGGTCACTCTACTATTTTTTATTTAGGGTTTAGGGTTTAGGGAAATTATTTATTTGTTTACTCACCTATTACTTAATTTATGGTGTGGTCACTCCACTATTTTTTTTCTTCAAAATCATACCTAACGATACATTGTGGTTCTATTTTGGTCACTTGTAGTTAAAAAAAATAACGGTGATGTTAATGTGATATTTTTAATTATCTTTTAATCTGGACGTGGCATTATCTTATGATGACACGTTAACATCAACGTTAATTTTATAAAGACGAGTGACCAAAACATAATGTTAAGTGTGATTTAAAATAAATAATAGTTTGACAATTAAAACATAAACTAAATAATAAATTGATTATTAAATAGGTATTTTACCCCTTTTTTAGGGCATGGGGTGAGTCATAACCTAGGTAGACCTAGGCCTAAATACACCTATGATTTATAGTGTTCAAATCTAAGATTTCAAAAAATAACAATAAATCTTTTATCTCGAAGCTCGTTTCGACACGGGACTACACATATTGTATTACTATTCGTTAATAGAAATCTAGAAATTTAAAAATATATATAATATAAACGAAGAGTTAAATCTAACAACCACTGCTATTTTTAGTTGTTACAATGAGCGGATAAGCGCAATTGTCTTTAGTCTTCAAATCTAAGCCTTAAAAATTTATTTGTTTCAGCATTCATATCTTGAATAACTAGCCTTGCACATCATGTATAAAAAGATCATAGCTCCTCGAACTTCATTCAAGTCATCTTCTGTGTATAATCAATAATCTCGAGACGAAAACGATGAACTCCGTCGTGAATAATGTTGCATTGGCTTTATTTTTCTTCGTTTGCATTTCGTTCTTCCCGTCGTTAAACGCCGTGCCGGACATCACCAAAACATGTGAACAGACTAAGCACAAGGAGCTTTGCATCTCGAGCTTCAAGGAATCATACATAGGCAGATATCTTCCCGACAATGCCAAGCCAGATTTAATTGCGTCGATACTCGTCAAAATCGTCGTTAATAACGCCTCAGACGTTTCCCGAAACCTCAAGACTACCGTACTCGAGGGTCCTGTGCCACTCACGCCCGATGTCAAGGCAAAATATGGTATATGCGATCATGAAGTCGTGTTGGCTATGAAGGAACTCGATAAGGCCCGTACGGCCATGGAATCGAGGAATCACAAATCGGAGAAGTACAACATGAAAGCTGCAGTGGCTAATGTGGAGAACTGTGAGAAGGAATTGAAGCTAGTGGAGTCGCAATTGCCAGACAAAAAACAGTTTGATGAAGTTATCATGCTCAAAACTATGTTGGAAAACATCGAAGACGTTCTCAAAACGGTAAAATAAAATTACGAGATGTTCTCAAAAATCGAATGATGATACTATTATTGTAAGTAGACATGTTCAAGAGTCGAAAAATGATGAATCCGATGTGATTCCGGACTCGAAACGAACTGTTGTTGTTTGTTTCGAGTGCCGATTTGATGGGGCTCTTTGACGACACATTTTTAATATTAAATAAATATTTATTTCGAGTTAAAAACTAATTTTACGTATTTTATCATGGTCTTGAATAAGGAATTAAAAAAATATCGAACCACAGCCAAATTTAACTCATGAAATATGGATTAATGGGTGCAGTCGAATAAAGTTTGAAAATAATTATAGAGCTTAATATTGTCTTAATTATTTAAGCATTAATAATGTACAATTCATCTGCTTTTGTTTTGTTTTTTTATTTTCAGTACTTGCTTAATTAATCACATTATCATTTCAAGTATTATAACAAAAATGCATAATAACTTCTAATTTTAGTATAGATGATTATTTTACATTATTTGTAGCCATTAACGTTTTAATTAGTTAAAACATACCATATTTGATGAAAACCGTTAGTTGGCTAACGGTCAACGTGTGTTGTTGATATAATACATGTCACATCATTATTTTGGTGACATGACACATACCATGTAATCACTTTTAGTGACGTGACACAAGTCATATCATCACTTTAAGTGACATGATATATGACATGTCATCAAGTGAACACATAAAAAATATCACATCAGCAACATAGATCGATCGTTTGTCAAGTAACGATTTTCATCTAATCGGATCTGTTATGACCAAAAATAAAATGTTGGAAAGTTAAATGTTAAAAAAATAAGAACAACGTGAATATTTGTGTAAACGTTGGAGAGTATTTTTATTATTATACCTTTAAAAAAATTAAATATTTATATTTACTTATAAAATTTTGTTACGATTTTTATATAAAGTATAATATTATATGTTTTTTTATATATAATTTGTGTTTGTGAAATTAAAATTTAGATTAAGGAGAAATTTTGTTCTATAATAAACTTTAAACCAAGAACAAAGATTAGAGATTTTGGAAGAATCTCCGGAGGAAATCCATACCCTTCTATTGGCTGATGCTAATGTGGAAAGAAGGATTAGATTGTAATTTAAACTGATTCACTTCCAGTTTCCGTTTCTGCACCCAAAAAAAAAACTTAAAAATGTCTTTTACCTTTCAATTATATCAATTTAATTTTTAAATTCATTTAATCGTTTAAATTTTATTCTTTGATCAACTAAAATCGTTATTGAATATCACTATGTTGATGTAGTTGTTAATTACACTAAGATAGTTATCCATTGTGATAATGTGATAGTTCACATCTAAATGATGAAGTCACGAAGTGGCTTAATTAATTTTTCTAATTAAATTGAAAATCTTAATTGATTTTTATAAAAAATTTAGGTATTTATTTAATCATTAAGAAGAAAATTAAAAATTTTAAAAATATTTTTAAGATTTTTAATATATATATATATATATATATATATATATATATATATATATATATATATATATGATATTTAGGTCAAGATTGAGATGGGAAAATATAGATCGAGGTTCGTTAGCGGGACTAATGTGGCCTTAGATATGTTTTCTGCTTGTTTGCTGGGGTTTTTATGGGCTCGTTGGTGCCAGTAGATTGGCGTAGTTTATTTGATGGTGTGGCTGAACAAGGCTTGGATTTCTAGCCTATTCAGTCGCAAGATAAGGTTTTGTTGTTAAGCCTCCTCCTAAGGTTTTTGAAGATGGAATCTTGGATTGAAAGTTTGCTCTGGTAGGCCAGTTTATTGGATATGCTCCTAACTTCAGTGCTATGCAAAGGGTTGTGGAGTTGCTATGGGGTAAGACTTCGAAGGTTCAGGTAAGTATTGTTGGTCCAAATCTCTTTGTTTTTCCTTTTGATGATGCTTGCTCGAGAGATAGGGTTTTATAAGGGGTCATTGGCATGTGCAACACAAGCCATTGCTATGTCATAAATGGGAGCCTAATTTGCAGAAGTTTGATTTTGATTTGGTTTGAATGCTTTTATGGGTTTAGTTATACACTGTTCCCTTGAAATTGTATTCGAAATCAAGATTAAGCTACATTT